AATAATAATAATAATAATAATAATAATAATAATAATAATAATAATAATAATAATAATAATAATAATAATAATAATAATAATAATAATAATAATAATAATAATAATAATAATAATAATAATAATAATAATAATAATAATAATAATAATAATAATAATAAATTAGAATTTTAAATTAGTATTCATTTTTATTATCGCTGATCCATTTATGGTAGTATACTTCTTGTTAAATAACATTTCAATATGGAAATTTTATTTTTTTTAATTTGGAAGACTTTTCTTTTTTGCTAGGTTACAGTAACAGCTGAAAATGGTCAAACATTGGATGATACGGGCGAAACGGATGAATTAAGCCCAGATATGGAAATGATGTTATTGTCCAAGAAACGTGTACGTATACCAAGCTCTATTCTGAGTGAACTTTATCCAAAACTTCCAAATCCATATTACAGGTAATTGAGTAATAATTCATTTTGCATTTTGCAGCTAATAGAAAACAGAGTAAGTAATCATAATTTTACCTTTTAAAAAGGTGAAAAAGTTGAATTAAAACTTGAAAAAAGTACTTGTCAAGAGTTTTTCCCCCCCCTCCCCCTCCCCCAATTCTTAATTACATAATCAATCGTATTAGTGATTGAGAAATTTGAATTTTTGCCGAAATTTTATGATCGGTTAATCAAACAAAAAATTGATGTGACCAAAATTAATTTATGTGTCACACGAATTGTATGCTGATAAAATTTTGTCATTTTTTGACAATTCTTAAATTGCATGCGAAAAAAAGTAATTTTTAAAGCGAAATAAAATTCTATCAGTAATTTCAGTCCTAAAATCCTTTTTTTTTGCTAACGATGCTTAATTGCAATTTTTCTTCTGTTTTCGAATATAATAATTTTTGCTATTTTTTCATTCCTCAAAATTTTTATGTAAAACTAAAATTATCAAATCATTTAATTTATTTGAGTGATAAATCATTTAAAAAGTGGAAGAAAAAAATTGCTTGTACAAATTAACTACAAGTTAGCTTTTTTCAAAACGTATCAAATTAGCTATGATGTATGTAATATGTTTATTTAATTATCTATATTAAACTAAGATTTATTTAATTATCTCTATTAAAATATGATTTATCTAATTATCTTTATTAAAACAAGATTTATTTAAATGTCTTTATTAAAATCATTCGTCCTAATTTTTATCATAAATTTTTTGTTACTTTCCTAAATTAATTGCTATTAATAGCTTTAAATTGATAATTTCAATAATAGTTTTATTTTAGATTTTCAATTTAGCAATAATTGCAGACAATCACTTTTTGGTGAAGTTGATATATCAGAAGATCAAGAACGCATACATTATGGTGATACTAAATTTGCTCCGAAATATCCATTTTATACTGATTAAATGGAATTATCAGCTTGTTTTTTTCATCACTAAAATTTGATTTTAATTTTCTTTTTTTCATTTAAACTACTAATTAGCGTTTTTATTTTTTCCCACAAACTGCATTTCTAATTTGAAATAAAATGAAACATAAGTGGAATTCTATTTTCTTTTATTTCGATTTCTTCCAAATGCATATTTTGCAATTTTTTTTTTATTTCAAGAAATCACATTCAGTGAAACTTTGATTTATTTGACATCTTTGCAAAGCAAATACTCATCTTTTCTACTCTGTAAAATTTGCATTTTAAACTTTTATTGGGAAAAATGTTTTCTTGGAAATTCCTTTTTTCTTTTTAAATATTTCGAGCAAAAATTTTAAATTTGGTTAAGGAAAGATAAAAAAAGCAAAAAAGACAAAAATTGCATGGAAATATGATAAATGGATTCTCTGTATGTTAAACATAGTGATTAAATGATAGGAATATGACGAGGAATTTTGAGGATAACTTTCAAAAATCTCAAAAATATTTTTTATTTTGGAATCAAATAAAAATACGATTTCCGGAAAAACTGAATTTCACCGGATCATAAAAGATTTCGCTCAACTGATTAAAATATAAAGTCATGTAGTGCAAGTGAATTATTTATTTTGCCAATATGAATTATCACATAAATTTTTTCAGTACTAAATTTTCTAATTTTTTGAACTTTTCCAAGTTCAAATTTTCAAATTTTTCATTTTCTCTTTATCTTAATTTTTTAATTTTCATTGATTTTCTCGGAAACCTTCTTGTTGAATTTTTAATGAATAATTTATTTTATTATTTACTTTCACTTATTGCTTATAATGCAATTTTAAAAATAAAAAATAAAAAACAGTTAAGGCTCATTTTCTTCACAGTTTGCAAAAATCTATCATTATGATAAGGTTATTGCTAAATGTTGGTAGTACATTAATGATGAAATCATATATTTAACATTAAGTGAAAATGTCGTAATTAGTGTTCTTTTAGTAACTAATTGAGAATATGTCGTCAAATATCAAAATGATATCACAACTCCTTACCGCTTACCGTTTTTGATTTCTTTAACTACTTGTATTTGTATCCGACAATAATTCATTTTCTTTTCAATTTGCAAAAATTTCTATACAAAATATTAAAAATCACTTAATGAGGTACTAATCGCTGTTGGTAGGAAATTTTACTGAATTTGTTTTTTTTTTTTTTGCTTTTCATCTGTATTTATGTGCTTCAATCATTATTAACTATTAATTCGTTTAATTAGGGAAAAAAAATCCTTTCATTCGTACATTTGACTGTTGTATGATTACAATGAATTTTTCAAATTGGCGGTAACTCAACACCTTCTTAATGGTATATATTTGTTCTTTGAAATAGAAAATAAACCAAAATATCATATTCAATGAATGATAAACAAAAAAGAAGTAGCGAATTATCATTTTGAATTAACAAAAATTATCATTATTATCAAAGTATTATCAAAAATTTATTAAATACAATTGCCATTATATCCCTTTTTCCTT